GAAAAAAACATTTGAAATGTATAGGAGGTTTTAGGGATTCCATTACACAAAGGAAATTTGAGATTTTTGAGATGACAAAAAGTATTTTTAATTTAAACATGAAAATTACTTTGGACACAGACTATACAAAACAAACGCTCAATATATTCATAGACAAATCTTTATTTTAGTTTGTTAAAAATAGTTCACTAAAAAATATGATTTTTTGTATGTGAAAGACCTATAATGTTAACTGAAAGACTGCCATATTGAAAGTTAGAAGTATTAAATATATGAATACAAAGATGTCAAGTGGTCGGTCAAACTGACCAAGCCTGCATCAAGAGTTAAAAGCTGAAATTTTCTTGAGGTGTTTAATATTTGAACAAATGCCAATAGTGGTGATCTGGAAAATGTTGAAAAGATTTTCTATTCAAAAAATAGAAGCTAAAATGCAATCCTGTTTGTATTATGTATGGCATTACAAAAAAATTTGTTATAATTTGTAAACTGTTTGTATTCTAACACATAGGATGGGTGTCATAATAAAAATAAGACCTGTGAATTTCACATTATGTTTTAAGACCATAAGAGCAAAGATTATGGTTATTAGGATGAAAGTTTTGTAATAGTTCTGTATTTCTTGTGAAAGATGTAATTTTTAAAATTTTCATGTCCACTTTTGAAGGATCTGTTTTAAATATATTTTATACCAGCCATATCCATTCCTGCACCAGTATAACAGAAATGAAATATTCCTTGTCTCACTGGCTGTACCTATAAACATAACTGACCTAATTATCATTTTAATAACTGATGTTGCTACACATGCAATATTTGACTATTACTTAACTTTAAAACTTTTCTTGTTTACATACTAAAGAAATGTCTTCAGTTCTTCTGCTTACCTTTTTTTAAATTTTAAACTGGTCACAATGAAATGGAAAACAAAAAACATTCCATTTTTAAGTGACAGAATATTATATCTGAGCCTTTTCTGCTGAACTGCACATGAAGCTAAACAATGGATTGTTTTTTTTATGCAGAAAAAAGCTAATAGGGCTATTTGTAACCATTCTTGGTTTTCAATTGTTAACCAAAGGGAAGTCAATTGGCTGGTAGCATCCATCACAAGTGTTCAGTTATTCTTATACCAATGAATAGTGGAATTGACCATTACATTATAATACCTCTACAGTTGAAAGAACAAACATTCAGTGCAGTTTGTGAGTCCAGCACCCCTAACTACCAGGCCATGCAGGTCCTGAGAGATAATAAAAAGGACTATTCAATTGTGAGTTGAGCACCCTAATCACCGAACCATGCTGGCCATGAAAAATAATCAAATTAACCTATTTAACTTTTACAATATAGAATATTAGATATATGCCATGATTTTTGCCTATATTAACTAAAATCCTTGTGAGTCTCACTTAAGACTTTAATTTTTGGCCCAATGTTTTGTACATTTATAGTTGTAGCTATAAAAAAAAAAGTGAAAAAATTTAAACCTTCCAAACTTCTTGTTTTATCCAGACATAAGTAAAACTCAAACCTACACACCATACCCCTCCTATTACATCTTGGCTTTACAGTAGTTAGAAAGCTAATTAAACCATAATAGTTCTAGGATATTATCTTTTTGCGCATGTGATACCATTTTGTGTCCTAAATTGCATATTCTTGACAACATTGTTACAAAATATACACTTAAGTTTCTTCTATCTTTTCAATGGCAAAAAAAGTGGCTAGGGTAACTTTGTTTTTATGTATATATTTTTTATTTATTGTTACAAAAGTAACTAAAATGTAAAAACTAGAAACTTATTAGGTTAGATAAGAAAATTTAAAAGATAAAAATTTGTCCATGAGCTGCTACCATCCATGATGTAATTCAATACTTTGTTTACTGTAACTTGCACCAAGATCTCACCAGATCATTAATTGTTTTGTAATGTTAGTTAGACACAATTCAAAGAGCAATAAAACAATAAAATTAAAATAGATATAAACTGCTACAAGACTGTGGCTGTTTATGCTAAATAATCGTAATTGTCTGTTACAATCAGCAGTTATTCTGGAAAAAATACATCTGATTTTATTTTTCAGTTATTGCTACAGGTGACTTTTCTACACTTAGTGTTAAGGCAGAGAAGATAGAATACGAATTTTCACAGAAAAAAAACTTCCAATTTTCATTTAGGAGGTTCTAGAGGTTAGGCAAATAAAACCTGAAAACTATAAGACAAAAACTCTGAATTATTTTGATTACATCATACTTGTGATTTTTATACTAAAAACTTACAAATAATGTGAAGATAAACTTAGTAAATTTAAAACTATGGTACGTATAGCTTAACAGAAATAGGATTGGTTCAAGTGACCATAACTGTTCACAAAGGGTTAGTGGAAGCTAGGAACAAATGTTTTTTTTTATTGATTTGACATGAACAAGACTTTTATCCCTGGAAAGACTTATTGTATAGGCTGCACTAGAACAAAATAAGAAGTTCTGAAAATTTTGTCTGTAAGGGTTCTTACAAATGGCATTTGTACTTTAGTTTCTCATGTTTGTTTATGCATTCCAAGTTATGTCTATAACAGGTGAGTAAACTTTTATCTATTAATGTCTTCTCATGGAAAGAATGTAAATACTGATGATAAAAACTATGGGTTACGTATTTCTTTCTGTGAACAACATATCTATATCTTTACTCTATATTTGGTTTAAATGCTGTAACCACAAATCTGATTTAAGTTCATACACTTCTTTTGTAGCTAGAAATGTTAACAGATTTATTTAATTTGAAATTTAAAATTAGATATTTTAATTCTTTGTAGAGTGTACATGATTTAACTACAGAATGATTTATCTGTTTTTCTTAACTACTACAAAAGTAAAGGTTATATTCTGTTACTCTTTTTTATTATATATATAGTATGTTGTTTCTGTACATTTTATATAACCATTAACTGCTGTCTCTGCTGTAACTATTAACCAATAACTGCTGTAACTATCAATTAGGTTTACCTGCAGTTTTTGATTTAACTGTTACATTTGTTTTATAAATAACACAAGTCATAAGTACATGGAATACAACAAGTGCCTAAATGAACAAGAAAAATATTTTCAGAAAGTCTGTTCAAATAGTCAAGGACAGTCCACATTATCATACAGAAACACGAAAGAGGAACTAATAGAAGATACGAATAAATATGCCAAAAATGTATACTCACTTGCGAACATTCATAGGAGCATCAGTAGAATCAAACAATTTGACTATTGGAGGTAAAATGAGGTGTAGGTAGTCATCTAAATTTGACCCAAAGTTTTGCAAAGCTATTAGAAGCTGAAACAAAAGTGTATTTTTTGTTTATTAAGATGGACAATTTATGTTTTACCAAAAACATTTATTCTAATATAAAACCATAGAAACCTAATATTTTTAACACTATGATAAACCAATGAAAACAAGTTTTTGATTAAAAGGTGCCACCAGAAACAGGTAGGGAAAAACAACACAGCAGAAAGAAAGAATAAGAAATGTAAAGATACCACAGATAAAATGATAAATAGCTGTCTTCATTACATTTACTTACTGAAAACAATTAGAATCTTAAAAATGTACAGAAGAAAACAACCTGATGGCTGTTACTTCTTATAAAACAATCTGAAGGATTTAAAACAAAGATCAAAAATAAAATAAACCCCTATTTCTATACCTCTAACACAGACATGAATGTACATTGTTTAAAAAGAAAGCACATATAAAAGGTTTTTCCCCTTCAAAATTTATGAATAAGAACTGAAACACCAAAGTTAAAATTAACCAATATTTCCTTATAGGCAAGTGTGGTTAAACTGAATGAGAGCTTTAACTGAACCAGAGTTGCTGCACTCCAACCATATTACGTAAAATTTTCAATCCTAAATAAGCTATTTTAAGTGCAAAAAGTGCAAGAAATAAGTCATTAGTATGTTAATAACTGAACAACTTATTTCAATAGCTATTCATGAAATAATTTTAAACTATCAATAGCTATTCATGAAATAATTCTTAACTACTTTCCATGTCTCCGTGATTCTCATCTTCTGGAGTAAATTCCTTTAAGTTAACCAAATCTGGAGTACCATCTAAGACAAATCTGGTACTTAATTAAATACTTCTTGATATAAAGTTTATTTCTTAGTTAATAATAATCTTTGTAACAAGTAATGCATTCTTACCAGTGATAAACATTCCCTATGAACCAAACTTTTGCTTTCTTTTAGTCAAAATTAAATTGTTCCAGGCAAAAAGAAACACAAGTTGGCTAATTTTTTATTACACTTTAAAATTCCCACAAAATTTTTACTTCTTTACACAGAACTGGCTAGATCCTTGGATTTTACTTCAACAATCTCTGATAATCATAGTAAAGTATTATTTGTTTCAAGTAAGCATGAAGTGGTTATAAACTTATAACTTTTGTTAAAAACCTAATGCTCCAAATACTATGTTAAACTACTGAAAACAAGTTTTGGAATAAAATGTGCCACCAGAAATTGTTATGATAAACATAACAGTAGAAAGAAAGACACCCCATATAAAATAGAAATAATTAAAATCTTCCCTGACAAGAAAATTTCAGTTTTGTTAAACCACTCAATAGAAGCAAATTTTGATATTTATATGGTATATACTGTCTTATGCTGGTCAGTGTTTCACTGACATTACACTTCTAGATTTCTTATTCTTAGTGCTTATGTTATGTGTGTGCATGTGATAAGCTAATAAAGAATTACATATATTGTTTGTGTAACATGATTACCTAAAAGCAGCTTTTCACCAAGTGTGATGAATATGTAGAAATCAAGCTATAACATTAGTTATCTTCAGGTAACCTATAGCAGTACTTTGTAATTCTAACTAAGAAAGAAGTGAAAATGTCTTTACTAGATCAACAGTCAGAGAACTTATCACTTAAAACCAAGAACTTGCATTGAGAGATTGAAATATTTCTTTGCAAAAGCAACATTTCAGATATCATCATACGAAAAAATAACTGAATATCTGAGCAAAAAACATATTAATAATACTCATATAACAGCATTCTCCTATGTTAATTTCACAATCTGAAACATACAATTTATTTTCATACAACTGGACCAAACAAAATGCAATCCCACAATGTAAATTCTCCAGTAGAAAAGGTGTCTACTGAAGTACTCACATAATTGTTTATATGTAGCACTGTGGTTATTTTAAGGTTAAAGTAATTTCCTCAAACTCTGTTAGATAGGTGTGCTTCATAATAGGGCAGGATAAGTTACAAAGTGATAGTGAATTTAGCTAAAATGAACTGAGTTTGAACAAAGAAATAAACAGAGTGAAATATATAACACTCAACATTAAAATAAAAAAACAAACATATGGTATGCTCACATACAATACCATAAGTTTTAATGAAATGAAAAATTAAAAAACAAAACTAGTTATTAACAACAAATCACTGTGGATGACAATTGAAGACTTATTTCATTAAGTTTGCATTTCAACCTGTCATGGACAGGTACTTGCTCCTGATGAAAGAGAAACTTAAATAAAAATAAATACACAAAACAAGTTATAACTACTGGACCACAGAAGAAAGAATAAATATAAGTAAACAAAACAAGTTATTATAACTGGACAACAGAGGAAAGAATAAAAATAAACAAAAAAGTTATAAATATTGGAACACAGAAAAAAGGTTAAAAAATAAATAAAACAAATTACTACTGGACCACAGAGGTTGACAAGTAAAACTTTTTCTAAAGATGGCATAATGGTCTCATACCTGTAAGATCATAATGAAATCAAAGATAACTATTAAACATACAATACCATATAAAGAAAAAATGGAATTCACAATTCCAAAAATGTAACACACTACCCATATTTATCCTTAACCTTATCCTCATAAAATTGGGGCTCAGCTATACAAAAAATGTAAGTACATGTAATACCCAGATATGCTATTTAACATATTTGTGCTGGTGACACAAGATTTACCTTGGCATTTACTATGAGAAAATCAGGAATAGCATAATAATCTACCTAAAATTTTAAAACTTATTTTTCATAATTATTTTTGATAGCTCTTTATAAACCTGCAATAATGTTATTTGTTCAGAAATTGAGTTAACATTTTACAAGTTTTATTATGAAATAGTTTAAATTTCAATAAATCACATCGTTGTAAACTGTTGTATTTGAGTCTTACAACTAAAAGGTTTACACAGAAAATACTGAAACTTGTTACAATTGTAATAGCCACGTACCTGTGAATTTAAAATATTACTATTATAAAATGAAAGGAATGTTATGACTAGGTGAATAAAGTCCATAGATTTATAAACAAAATATTAGAATTTATTAAAGAAATATTCAAATCAACATAATCTTTAGATATATTAGTTTTTGTTACTTATACTTTCAAGTGGAATCTGAAAAATGTCTTTTTTTTCCTACATTTACACGAAGTTGTTATAAATCATTGAAAATGTAATAAATGAAAATAAGAAGTCCAAGGGAAACCTAATAGTTTTATGTAAATAAAGTTACTAACTAAATGTACATATTTAAACTGAAAGTTTTTGTTTTGTACAGATTGGTGTATAATAACTAGTAATATCCTTTCACCTAAAAATTTACATTTAAATGTCATAGGAACATGAGATTTTTTAATAAGTTTTGAAAAGTATGCACTTAGATTTGAAATTAAGAAGTTAAATAACAAAAAGTTTTTCCATATTTCATTTGAAAGATAAGTTATGTATTTGAATTTTGTATTAATGACAAAGCTACTAAAGATATCTGCCACTATCCCTAATTTCCATCTACTTAACAGAGGGAGGGCAGCCAGTCAGCAAGCACCTTACCATCCACCATCCATGATAAGGAATTGAATTGACTGTCATTCTTATAATGCTCTCACATCTTAAAATGTGGGTAATATTTTGTGGTAATTCATGGATTTGAGTCTAGCTCACTAGCTCTGAGATCCAGAGTTTTATGACAGGGTCAATCTGTGCCCTAAATAAATTATGAAGAAAGCTAAAACATGTGATTAAAGCATACTAAATTCATGTGGATGTCTTAAAATAAATTTCTAAATAACAGTTTGTTTTGTCTGTTTGTTGTTAAGCACAAAGCTACACAATGGGCTATTGGGCTATCTGTGCTATGCCCACTTCAAGTATTACAGCCTAATTTCTAGCATTATCAGTCTTAAGACTTAGTGCTGAGCTACCAGGGGGGGCTAGATAATTGTATCAGAATAAAAAGTACCTAAAGTAGTACACAGTGTATTAGAATCAATCTTCTTAATCAATTTTTTCTTTTATTATTACCTCTAATTTTCATTGTTAAAGTTTTTATTACAGGAAATTATATTTCAAAAAACAACACTTGTGTTCTGGAAATCATGGTTTAATGAGTGTGTTCTCAAACTGTGGGTCAATGGAGGTTCATACAGTTTCAAAGGGGTTGAAAAAAATGCAACAAATCTTTTGAAGGTTTTTTTTTGAGTTTTTGTAAATACTAAGACATTTAAAGAGAGTTGCTTCATTTTCTTAACCTCTTTGCTGTCTTGTTATGATACAGGAAAGGCATTTCCTTTATTCTTCTTTCTACTTCATTTAAAACATTTCCATAATTTTAAGCTGGCAGACAAAAGAAGAAAGCACTTGGTCAACAACATCCACAGTTAACCCTTGGGCTATTCTTGTCTGATCAAATAATAGAATTTGACTGTCACACTTATAATACACCCATGGTCCCAAAGTACAGAACACACATCATGATTCCTCAGATTCACAGTTTGGGCATGCTAACCATCAGGCCACACACAGCCCTTCTTTTTAGTATTTAGTGTGTTTTGTGATTTAGAGGTATTGAATAATTTAAAAATAAACTGTATGTTTAGAACTGTACTATTGTATTAGCAATTTTTTTTAGAATGGTAGTATTCTCTGTTGATTATTAGTTACCTGACAAATGGGGGGTCTTGATTGTTCACTCTCAGAAAATGAAGTCCCAGACTGAAAAAGTTTGAGAACCTGATTTATATCATACAGAAATAAAAGATTTTAGCTTCAAAACATTACAATTCTTACACTGAAGTATATCAGTTCCTTATTATATATCTTATAATAATATGGTAATAGAATCACTTTCAAAAGGACAAATATAAAAATGTTTTAATTCAATACAGTAACATATACCAATTAATTTTTGAATGTATAAGCTCAATTTCTAAATATAAAGTTGTAACAATTTTATAATTACTATATCTAAATGCTATTTATTAATTTCATTAAAAAATA